CCGAAAATGCGTGAACAGATTACTAAATTTATTAACGAATGCACAGTTTGTGGTCAAGCAAAATATGACCGCAATCCCATCAAACAACAGTTCAGAATTGTTCCACCAGGCACAAGACCATTAGAATTAGTTCATTTAGATTTATTAACTATACAGAGTGAGAAATTTCTAACTATAGTAGATGCTTTTTCTAAGTATGCGCAAGCTTACCACTTAAGGGATGGCACAGCCATCAGTGTCGTGCAAGGGTTGTTAAACTTTTGTACACATCATGGCGTACCTCTAACCATAGTTACTGATAATGGACCGGAATTCACCAACCAACTTATATCAGAATTCGTCAGGGTTCATAAAATTCAACACCACAGAATAGCTCCTCATACACCGAATGAGAATGGTATCGTAGAAAGATTCCATTCAACTATTCTAGAGCACCTTCGTATATTAAAAATAAATAATAAATCTGAATCGGTAATAAATCTTATGCCATATGCCCTTCTGGCTTACAATAGTAGTATACATAGTTTTACAAAGTGTAAACCGATTGAAATTGTAACTGGCCATTTTGATCCTCGAGATCCATTTGATATAGATCTCTCAACTCATTTATTACAACAATATATGAATAACCCTGAAATAATTAAACTCGAATGCGCGAAACCAATCCTGCGGAATCTTTTGTTGAAGTGCTGGGAAGCGGGTGATGTGCCACAGGATATGCGAGATGCCAACATCATAACACTATACAAAGGGAAAGGTGACCGCGGCGACTGCAACTGCTACCGTGGTATATCCCTTCTGAGTATAGTTGGCAAGCTTTTTGGACGTGTTATTCTATGTAGACTCCAAAAGCTTGCGGCGCGCATTTACCCAGAGACACAGTGCGGGTTCCGTTCTCAGCGTTCCACAGTAGATATGATCTTTACACTCAGGCAATTGCAAGAAAAGTGTAGAGAGCAGAATACTCCCCTGTTTGTGGCTTTCGTTGACCTCAACAAAGCTTTTGACACGGTTAGCAGGGAGGGTTTGTACTCGGCGCTGGGGAGCATTGGGTGTCCACCTAAACTCCTGAGCCTCATTAAATCTTTCCACGAGGATATGAGGGGCACCATAGTTTTTAACGGCCAGTCGTCTGAATCGTTTGACGTTCGCAGAGGTGTGCGGCAGGGCTGCGTCTTGGCTCCCACCCTGTTTGGAATATATTTCTCGCTCCTGATATACACAGCATTCGGCGATGACCACCAGGGTATCCATCTGCATACAAGGACCGACGGAAATATGTTCAACATCTCTCTCCTCAAATCTAAGAGAAACCGCGAGGACCTTTTCGTAGATAGTCTTCTCTTTGCCGATGACGCCGCCTTTGTGGCCAATTCTGCAGCTGAGCTTCAATCTATGTTGGACAAATTTTCTCAGGCCTGCTCCCTGTACGCCATGTATGTTAACACCAAGAAGACAGTTGTGCTAACACAAGGCATTCAAGAAGCCCCTTTAATTTCTTTAAATGGCACGCTGTTAGAGGTAGTTGACAGGTTTTGCTACTTAGGGTCGACCGTGTCAAACAATCTCTCGCTTGAAGCGGAGATCGACTCACGTATTGGCAAGGCGGCAACTATGTTTGGGAGGCTTAGTACGCGAGTATGGTACAACAAATACCTGACTATCAAGACCAAGATGGTAGTCTTTCAGGCTTCCATACTAAGCATTCTCCTATATGGAGCCGAGACCTGGACAACGTATGCAAAACAAGAGAGTCGATTAAACACTTTTTACATGCGTTGTCTACGCAAAATTTTGGGCATTTCATGGCGTGACAGGGTAACCAACGAGAGGATTCTAGAAATCGCACAGCTGCCTAGTTTGACAGCATTTCTTAAACAGAAGCGCCTACGTTGGCTAGGGCACGTGCACAGAATGGAACCCTCTCGTTTACCACGACGCGTTCTGCTCGGTGCAATAGCGAATGCAAAGAGAGATGTAGGGAGGCCTTTGCTTCGCTTTAAGGATTGCGCCAAACGTGACATGGCCACTTTTCAAATAGACCACCGTAGCTGGGAAAAGCTCGCAACCAATAGATCAGATTGGCGCAAACGCGTAATGGAGGGTCGAAGGGTTTGCGATGATGCCTGGCTTCAAAGGCTTGCTGACAAGAGACGGAAGCGCCACCTAGGCGGCTCAGTACAGACTACTGCCGATAGTTTCCCTTGTCGGGCCTGTGGTAGGCCATGCCGTTCTCGTATCGGTTTATACAGCCACGAAAAAAGCTGTTCACGGACCATTACGCCATAAATCGTCTATAATAGACGCATAGGCCATTATATATGAATAACCATAAAGATAAAATGAAATTAGTATATAACTCAGTTCATGAACTCTGTAATTCCTCCCGTCAAAATATTACTGAAAATCATAATAAGGATCGTGAAACTGAACTTCAGTATTCACCAGAACAACAGATTTTTGTAAAAAATCCTTTTGCTTCCCGACAAAAATTAGTGCCCCGTTACACACAAGACGTTGTAATGGCAGACCTCCCTATACATATTTATACTAAGAAAAAACGTGGTCCTGTAGCTAAATCTAGATTAAAAAGAGTCCCTAAAAGCGCCCAATTGTTTCAGGACGCTCCTGGTTAATAGTAAAAAGTATAACGAGGTAATAAAATCTCTCCAAGATAATGAAAATAAAATAGTATCTGAATTTAATGCACATGTTAGTTTATCTAAAGATTGGACTGCTCAATATTCTAAAATCATAAGTAATATAGTAACAAATCAGAATAAGATAGACATTTTAGTAGGTAAGATAAAAGAAAACGAAGCTACACGAGACTATGATTTAGTAAAATATGCCCATTTATCTCAAATTATAGATATAGTAAGCGATAACTATAATTAACTATAATAGCTTTTATAAAAACTTCTACTATGCACCATTCTCTTTTAGATTCGTATACAATCCGCACTATGATTAATAACATAACTGCTATATATGGTACAGATAAAGTAGTAATAGATTTAGATACTAGAGAAATATATTATATAATTAAGTTAGGTTCATATTATATAGATTATAAAATAATATATAAAGTTCCCATCATCTATCCTTTTACGTATGATATGTATAAATTATGTATAATATCCAATAATCACCACGAGATCTTATCACCACCCCATCCGTTCCTTGTTCTTCATGAGAAAGATTTTAAATACATAGAGACAGAATGTCCGAAGACGAGCAGATGGTACTTATGCGGCGCACCCAGCAATATGCAGAATCAATCACCCCAAGACTGTATCCAGAGGCTCATCACCACGCAGCAGCGGGACCGCACATGCAACCCCATTACTGTTTCACTAACAAAATTAGCTTACGAGAAACTCAACAATAGGCACTACAGTGTGAGTTTTCCAACTCCAACGAAAAGACATTTATCCTGCGGACAAGACCTTTACGAAACCCTGAAACCCGCATTCAAACTGAATTCGATCAAACTGGATCACCTGCATGAAACAAATATGAAGATGTCAATAGCACCTCCATTGACACTGCAGACAGAAAATAATAGCGGTATATATCATACGACTATACCGATATATGCAATACTAGTAAGTGCTTGCGTACTTGCTTGTGACATTACATATTATAAATTCCGCATAAAATACCTCAACACCAGGCAAGCTCATCCAGTCAACCATATGGAAATGGAAGGAATCTACACTGTTCCTGAAACAAGGAGAGTTAACCCAGAGCAACCCCCAGCTCAATTTACGACAAACGTCTTCAATAGTCGCTGTTCTACGAGGGGAGGTGTTACGCAAGCCTAGTATAGAAGGACTGCTGCATTTGCACTGTCCCCAATAAACATTGCACGCGGCACCAAATGCTTGATCAGCAATGAGCATCACGCCATATCGCGTCATGCCTATAGTTACATTTCATTTTTATAGAATTATATAAATCAATCATATTCTGTTCTAACATCGAACTATAAGCATTGTAATTATTATTTTATATTAATAAATTTAAGTTAAGAAAAAGGTTGGATTTTTTTTACAACCTCCGGCTGTAGAATCCATAATTTGTGCATATAGGTATAATATTATGTTCCTCTTTGAATACAAGCATTTATGTCCGTTCCATTATTTGGGTCTCAGATTTTTTTTCTATTACTAAAGTAACATGACTCCACAAAACGAAACAAAAACTAACTGACATATACAGCTTAAACCACAGGACTTAGGAGATTCTAGAATGTCTGATAGGATTCTGAAAATAATTTGTTGTAATTGCAGATGAAGCTGTGGTAAACAACTAGTCTTAACATAATAATTTGTGTTTATTTTTCTTTGCAATAAATAGTAATAGTAATAGTAAGGATGCGAAAATTGTAAATTAAATATTTAGTTTCAAACGACTGTAAAGAAAGTGAGATTTTAATGTGTAGTCACACTGCATATGTTAATATTGTTTTTAATAAAAATATTGTCATAGTCACATTTCAATGTGAGTAATAAAAGTTTTAATACAAATGACAACAATATTTTTTTACACTGTATTCTGTCTCTTCCCATCCTCTTGTTCTAGAATGTCACAATTTTCATCACATATGAAGGGTCCTTCATATGTGATGAAAATTATGGATAGTCACCTCTTTTTCCGTTTATGCATTTAGCGTTACATATAGCAATGCTTAGTATTGTTATAATGATATTTTGATAGTAAATTAAACTAAATGACGACCTCGATGTAGAGGTTTAGCACACCGCTTTACTTCCTATAATATTTGCGGGTTCGATGCCCCGCACGACACAAACATTTGTATTCATAAGTATGATTGTATTGTGTCGGTCTGGGGTGCTTACTATGTATTATATATATTTACGCAGAAAATATATATCTGTGTATTTGTATCAGTTATCTAGTACCCATAATACAAGCTTTAGGTAGCTTAACTTGGGTGTGGATGGCGTTGTGTGAATTGTACTGAGATTATTATTATTAAATGAAACTAAATATAATACAAGTAATTGGAAAAGAATATATTTATTTTTTTGTTAACGTTGCAATTTTTTGTCCGCCAAAAACACATCTAGCAGGAACTGTTTATATTCTTCTTCTTTGACAGAATGAATAATTCTTGCGTTGGCTTCCGTTTTAGGGACAAATTTATTTGTCGTGATTCCTCTTTTATCTCCTGAAAGTTTATATGTTAGAAAATATATTGATATACAAAATAATTATTGTTTGTGATGGAGAGGATAAGGGATTGTTTAAATTAAAAAATATATTAAATATAATTTTCAAATTGCCTTTTGTTTTTCTGTTGTAGCATAAGGTTTGATATTTGAAACTTCCAACATGCCTATATGTAATTTTAATAGTAAATGTAGACAGAAGATTATTTTACTAATATTATAAACGTTTGTGAGTGTGGTTGGATGGATGTTTGTTATTCTTTCACGCAAAAACTACTGAATGGATTTTAATGTAGCTTAAATATGAGAAACGGATGAAGTCACAAGCACAGCTATATTTGTAACTAGCTATTCCCGCGATTTCGTCCGCGTGGAATTTAACTTTATTTTTCTAAAATAAAAGTAGCCTTACTCCTTATTATATCAGCTACCTGCTAGAAAAAGTGTCGACAAAAACGATCCAGCCATTTCAGAGATTAGCCGGAACAAACATACAGACAGACAAAAATTGTAAAAAATGTTATTTTGGTGTATGTACCGTATTTATATTGATATGCATGTAGTAAAAAACGGTTATTTCAATATTACAAACGGACACTCCAATTTTATTTAAATATATATATAGATTACAGCGCCTCCTAGTATCATTTTTGTGTACTTCACAAAATGTCAGATAAGGAATCATTTCTACGGAATGGTAGATGGCGATCAAAAATAATAATTAATGAATATACCGCCAACTTTGACATCAATAATATATTTTTTTTCAATATTGTTTTTGTATTGCGTAATCGTTATAATGTGCTAATATTTATATGCTTTAAGTTTATTTGAATAAAAAATATTGCTAGCAAACAACTTTCAACGGAATATATTTCAAATGACAGAGAAAATTCTGGTGGACTGACTGGTGGCTCTTTTGAGAATTAGTACAACCACCTCGTGGTGGTAACGCCTAAGAGTTATTTTCTATCGCATCATTACAAAATACCAGATATATTCTAAAGGCCTAAGATGTCATGCCTCCGTACTGTAATTTTGTGCCAACGGCCTCTGGTCTGGTCTATCGGTTTAGCACACAGCGACGATAGCGTCTGATGGTCGCGGGTTCGATTCTTCGCATAGTACAAACATTTATGTTCATGAATACAACTGTTTGTATCGGTCTGGGTGATTCCTGTGTGTATTATTTAGAAAAATATTTAAGTATTTGTATCAGTTGTCTAGTATTCATAACACGCTCTGCTTAGCTTAGAACTAGATAGCGCTGTCCTGATTTTATTATTAATTTGCCGTTACATTGAATTGTAGGTAAGTATAACTCACCACACAGTGTCACATCATTGTTCGAATACTGATACTCTTCAACTAAGTCGGGTTTGATAGCCACAGCTATTGTGGCTGGGTCTAGAGCCTGCCATCTATCGCTCAACTTGAGTACTACTTGTTCATACTTGTTCTGTGCTTTTATTATATCCGTGTCTATAGCTCCCAATACTTCTTCTCTCCATGCCTGAAAATAGCATATAGGTATAATAGATTAGGTCAAAACTTACTAATTGAAGAAGTGACTTAATGTCCGTCTATTTTTGTGTATCCTTTTTCCATTAGTATCCTAATGGCATATGCACCCGCTTGATCTAACGGTCTACGCTGTCGGTGCACCAGTGGAGAATGAACATGAGATCAGGTCAGTTAGTCCACCGTGACATTCACAAGGAATTTATCATGATAGTTTCCACGGGGAACCGCGTGGAGGTTCTGACATGGTACCAGATGCCACTTTTTTAGCCGACTACTATTTACTTATTAACAAAAACTACCAAATAGATCTATATATTACTACTGACAAATATATTACCGGTATATACCTACAAATAACAGGAATGGGTAAAACTCACCGTACTCAAATTAAGATGCTTCATTACTTGTGAAAATGGGAAAAATGTGACTTTACTCGGGCTGGCATTCTGAGCGATGACGTGATAAGCTTCAACATCCATACTGGTATTGAACTCGGGATCTGAGTGTTCATCACCTGTAAAAATACAAGTCAGTTTAATTAGAATCAGAAACAAACTGACTGACCATCTGATTAAGTGGCGATCCTCACCTATAAAACGCTCTCCCATTAATACAATTATTATTTGTGTTTTTATCTCATAAGTAACATACATTGCAAAACATAGTTTAAAGTTTAAACGTTAAAGTTTTATTTCAAATAATTGATATTTTTATGTAGGTAATATAACGATGGAAGTAAAAACTGCAAAGCTAAAGTTTTGTGCCTACAGTTGTAATATTTCTGTCAACACTCGGAACCCTTCCATTAGTTTACGTCTCCACATAACATAGATTTAAGTTCAGTGTAAAGCTAGTCCAGATTACGTCTCCGCGCATTCAATCGAAACACAGCTTACAAAGCAAACTGCTTAACTGGTGAAGTAGATGGAACTGAGATACGCAGACAGATAACTTTGTACAAGGTGTAATTCGTTGGTTGGTAAACATCATTCGCTATTTGGCACGGAGTAATTTTTTCATGTAACTGAAACGGTCAGCTTTCAGTTACATGCAAGTATGGAAAAGGCCTTTTTAATAAGGCAGAAAATTATTGAGTGTTAACTAAACTTATTAATAGAAATAGAAACAAAAATAAATAATCTTTATTCAAATAAACTTAATATAAGAACTTTTGAATAGTCAAGTTTTTTTATTCTACCGCTCATTTGGAATGCAGACTCATCACAAGAAGAATGAGAAAGAAACTTGTGTGTTGCTTTTTTAAATAAATATTGATTTACTTATAATTAATTAACAACAAGGATTAGGCATGCGACAATCAAGATAGAAACCGCTACGCACTTAATCTCTGTTCAATATTATTGTTAATGAATCCTAATATTTAGGTACATAATGCGAGTCTTCAAACCAGGACCATCTAAAGGTAAATGTAAACTGCTTAGCACCTTGTTCTTCAAACTTAAAAGGCTACTAAGTCCACTCTAGTAAAATATATCACACTTACTATGTATGTGCCCAGCTCCAACGTATAAATGTGCTATTCTGTCCAAAAATCCGGAGTCCAATTTAATGGCAACTGCGACGTTCGTAACAGGTCCAATTGTGATTACTGTTAATTCATCTGAAATATCAAGATTATAGATGGTAGGCTAATTGATCCAATAATGAAAGTTCTACAACAAAAATAGACAAGAAATTAAGTTCTTTTTTCACTATGTTTTGAACTGTAAACATTATATTTATAGTGATCGTCTTTATTTGTGAGTTTCCGATGTTGCACCTGTCGTAGGTTATCATTCTTGGGAAATAAGTGTTATTCTAACGTCGGTGTCAAAGTTTTATCCAACCCCGTAATTTAACTGCCATATCTCATGTTACAAAGGGAAACATAGCTTACTAAGCAAGCTGCTTGACGCAGAATTGCTCACGTAGATGGTTGTACTAGTCTACTAATGTAAATACTATTAACCGTATTACTTACGAGTTACCTTTATGTTTTTTAGAGAGCTCTATCAGAGCTACGGCGGCACTCTCCTCCTTACATGGAACCAAATCTGCGTACACATCACCAGCGTCACCTAATCCATCAAATCCAAAATAGTTTCCGCCATCTGGTGTTACAACTAAAGAGTTCTGCGAGCCCCTGTATATTGGTACCTGGAAAGTATTATTACTAAGCTATAGCTACTGTTTTGCCATTCTTTTTGACTTAAGCTACTTTTAAACTTGAGTGGAAAAATCAGAACTATTATTATGGGTTTTAGGTATGTACATTTTTTTTCTTTTTTTAGAATTCTTCAATTAAGGATTCTCCAGGTCTCGACTACCATGCTTATAATAATAATATAATAACCCTGGACAATTGACATAGCGCCATCTAGTCCGAAGCTAAGCAGTGCTTGTGTCATTGGTACTAGACCACTGTTATAAACACTTAAATAACATTATATACATAGAAAACACCCAGACCAGTACCAACTATCATATTCAATAATACAATTGTTTGTACCGTGCGGAGAATGAAACCCGCGGGCATGGGAAGTAAGGCGTTGTGGTAAACCTCTAGATCACTGAGGCCGTCGCACTTCCTGTAACTTATGCATTTTCTTTGATAATGTTAGAAGCTAGCTACATTATACTATCTTCTGAGCACTCTACTTATTTTGTTATTATTACTATGTTGGTATTGGCCATTAAAACATCATAACAGACTGACATGTTAATTTTCTAATTTATAATTAACGAGCTATATCCTGCAACCAAACATACTTGATAACTTAGCTGTTTCTCGCTGTTAACATAACTTTCTATATATGAAAGAATGTTTAATATTGATCAAATATTTATTAAGTTTATTTATAAAAATGAATTTAAAAATCTCTCTCTGTGATAGGTGTAAGAATACTGGTACTAATACCTAGTGTAATAATACCTACTTACATCCTGTCTATTTGCTACTTTCAATATCTTCTGGTTATTTTTGTAAACATTTTCTTCATTTGTATTTCCATTCACTGTCGTTAGCGCAATCAATTTTGGTCTGTAAAAAATAGCATATTATTTTTTTAATGATCTAGGACTACGGATACCATACAATACAGGCACTATAGGTGCTAAACAACTGATAGAAATATATAATAATACCATAGAAGGAATATATTAAGGTCAAAAAGTAAAAGGATATATTTTTTTATACTACGATGGTGGCAAACAAGCATATGGTCCATCTGATGGTAAACAGTTACCGTAACTTGCCATAGGTTTTCTTCCACCGCAAACGCCAGAAGTGACATGTGCTAATTATCGACAAAAGTAACCATGACAGCGCGACAGACAGAGTTACTCTCTCATTTATTATATTAATAAGGATTCAGTTTAAATGGTGTAAACTTACCCATTAAAATGTTTCTCGTATAATAGAGCAAGAAATATTGCCATAGCGTCATCACCGCCCGCATCGTTGTCAATCACAATTTTAGATTCCTTCGCCATAACACTGGAATACGAGACATAGTGTTCTGAATGTTTTTTTTTTATTATTGACGGTTTTGGGCTATTTTCAGGTGTTAAGACCTGCAGCACTGTGTCCTACATAGATCCAACGTGCTCGCCCTTTTTCAAAGTTCGCTACCTAAGCCCGTCAGGGATATGAATTGAAAGATATTCTGAATGGTAACATAATCTTCTATGTATAGGCAAAATAGTAATTGTTATAAATAGTACAATATACACTTTCCTATTATTAATTCGACGATGTGTCTGTCTGCGAACTTTACACGACTAAATGGCTGAATGAATCTTAATGAAATTTGATATGAAGATAGACTGTGCTGAGGATGGACATAGGGTATATTACGAGTATATCTAAAAGAACAGTGAGGTAACTTCTTTTATATTATATTATAACCATGTATAATGTATAATAATCTAAGCTCTACGTATACAACAGAAGAATTTAATTCTTTATGTTCGTTTCTTAATGATGGATAAAATGTAAAGCATATTAATCGATTGTAATAAGTCTTTTTTTGTTTATAAAATGTTTATTATCATTATATTATCAGCGAGTAACATGGACTGTAACTTACATTAAACTTTTAATATGACTTTAAAAAAAAAATTCCTAGAATATTTTCAACCATGCAAAGCCAAGGCAGGTATATAAATAACTATAATAGAGTTTGTGGTGACAGTATTTAAGATAAAATATGTCTTAAAATATATATATATATATATAAAAAGATTAAACATTTTGTTATTTTTAGCATATTTATATGCCAAATTCCGATCGATGCTATGTATATACATATATATTATTAGCTAAATAAATTAACTAAAACTATAATTAGGTAGGTACATAAATAAATTTACAAATTATACATATATTTTATCACTATATATATATTATAAACGAGGAAGTACCTACCACAATACTATAGATTGAGAGTTCAAAATATAATAACTTATCTAATATTACAAATAATTACTATTATTCAAGTTATATTTATACGGATAACTTTTGACCCGTTTGTTAGAAATGTATTATTATAACAAAACTGTATAAATATAACATTATATATGTAAATAGTTGAATATTTTACACCGCACATCTATGTGTAGTTAGGAATATAGAGAAAGGAATTTCCTAAATAGACGACAATGGAATGGTCCCCGCCTGCGCTAACGGTTTACACTGACGGGGCACTAGTAGAGGATGACAAGACGAGCGTCAGGTTAGATATGCCATTGTGGCAAATTCACCAGGAATGTGAATTTTTCCAGAGTGAGCCATTGAAGGTCGACCCGATAAATTTACATTGCCAGCATATTCATCAGTCCACATTACGAACAATCCCCTTCTCCCCAGAGAAAGACTGTTGTATGTACAAGTTTGCTTCGTAAGCAGAGATTCGGTTGCTGTGTAAAATTAAGCAGTGTAATTACATCATGAAAGGCATGACATCTTAGTTCTCCAGAATAGACGAATTAGTGGTATCAAGTACGTAACATGATAACGTGATATCCGTGGTATTGTTGAGGCATATAGACGACGGGTACCACATATGTCAGATTTGTAGTACCCGTCTATACATTGTAAAAAACCTGATGAACATGTGATTTAGTCTTCAATTTTGAGATAAAAAGCATCGTTTGTGATACTCAATTTTTCTTTAAAGGTTCGTTAAGCCGTTTAAACGTGAAAATGCATCAGACAGACAGACATATTTCCACGGTTGTATCTTTAGTAATGTATAAAAGTATGATTAATAATTTTATTGATAGACAATTGCTATACAGTAAGCGCTTATTTAAATAATAGAGGACTGTAAAGTAATATATTTACATCGTATTAAACTAACTTAGTATTGTTTGCTTATATCTTTTAAATTACACAACGGATTTTAATGGAGTTTACAGCAATATATACAGTGATTCAAAATAAATGTTTTATATTATAACACATGTATTATACATATATAATACATGTGGTATATATTTGTATCATTGAATTTACCGGCATATCTGTATGCATCCGTGCGAAGCCACTAGTAATATATATATTAAATGACAATAATAGGCTGACATAATTTGATGTAATAAGTATCTAAATTGTTTTTAATAATAATCATGAAATTTTTTATAGTTTTAGCAAATTATGTAAGAAACTAGAATAATTCATAACATATTAGTATGTCTGTGGAAACTAAAAATGTGAACGAGATAATTTCAATAAGATTAGCATTTCCTATGTATGAAATTTATTTGTCACTACTAATTCCCGCGACTTCATCCGCATACTTTGGCCAAATAAATAAAAAATATTAAATTTAAAAATCTAACCCAAAAAAAGCAAAGAAAAAAGATTCATCGTTCTAGCTTTAAAAATGACGATATTACATGTATACTTTCATTCTATTCTATTTTATTTAACCCCTTAAGGATAACATTTTTATAAACTTTGAATGCCATATTTATTTATGTTTAATAAACAGCCTAAAAATAAGTCTCTAGCTCCTAACTTTTGAAATGGCCATGTTCCTGTACCAACTTTCATCTCCCCTTTTTCGCTTTAAAAAGTAGCCTATGTTCTTTCTTAGGGTCTAGACTATCTGTGTACCAAATTTCATTTCAATATGTTCAGTAGGTTTGGCGTGAAAGCGAGACAGACAGTTACTCTCACATTTATAATATTAGTAAGGAAATTAGGATTAGTAAGGATAAAAATAGTAGGTGCAACTACATTTCATTAGTAATGGTTATTCTACTTACGTTAAATAACACATACAGGTTAACACAAAACACACAATTCTGAACATAATGTTACATAATATAACAACTATTACGAGATGTTTACTCACAATCGTCTCGAGATAAACTAATCTCGAATGATACAACAAACTGGATGGCCTATCTGCCTGCGAGTTAGACAAAAAAATATACTGCCAATTATATTTAGCGTTTCATATTTAGTGGAGGTATAGCATTATCAAACATAGAACGGCCTCATTGGCCAAGCAGTTTAGCATACCGCTTAAATTCCGATGGTCGGGAGTTCTATTCCTCGCATGATACAAACATTTGTATTCATAAGTATGATTGTTTGTATCGTTCTGAGTGTTTTCAACGACCACCGTCAATGTATTACGTACGTAGAGTCCCCGAGAAAATATAATAGTTTATGTAGGCACATATACTGTGTATCTAAATTGCATATTTAAAGGTCTTAGTATACTATATAACAGTCAAGTAGCCCTTGTTACATTAAAATATTAATACTGCAATATTACATTTTATCATAGAAATGTTTTTAAGACTGCAGGAACAAAGTAGTATTATCGTATTTATAATGGAATAATTATAAAGATCTAATACATATGTAAATTACACATACCTAGCTACCTATTATACACCTATATTTATCATACATAACTAGATACCCGCCTGGTTTCGCACGAGATTACATGTATTAATCTATACATAATTATAAATAAAATTGTAGTGTTTTGTTCGTAATATTGAAATGACCGTTTTTTACTATATGCATATGACCACAAATACGGTACATACACCAAAATAACATTTTTTACAATTTTTATGTGTCTGTCTGTCAGTTTGTTCCGGCTAATCTCTGAAATGGCTGGATCGTTTTTGTCGACTTTTTCTAGCAGGTAGCTGATATAATAAGGAGTAACTTAGACTACTTTTATTTTAGAAAAAAATATTTATTTCAGATTTATAAAGTTAAATTCGACGCGGTTGAAGTCGCAGGTACAGCTAGTTATATAAATCTTCCTCTTGAATCACTCTATCTATTGCTAAAAACAACAGCGTACAGACACAGCTGAAGCGAATTCGTTTTATACTATGTAAGGAAGTATACTTACAATATTTAATTTAAATTTCCCAATCCCATCAAATTCACTGTCACAATTAAAATAATACGCATTACATAATATGATTTAGCATTATAATTTTATCATTTAGTTTATGTACAATTGCAAAAATTGCTAAAATAAAGTTAAAAACACTGTTTAAAACAAATACTTATTGTATTTCAACGAACTAGATACTCTTTATATATAATTACGCGTCTTGAAATTGTTAAACATGTTCTATATCTATATATATATATCTGTATTCAAACAAAAGGTGACACAATGTAAGACAAAATTAACATACTCGTATAGTAATGAAGATCGACGCATGCGCATAGATACTGCCAGTTGAATTGAATACATTTATGTATGTTCTTTATATATGTATGTTGCGACGGCCTCGGTGGTCTAGCCGTTTAACACACCGCTTTACTACCGATGGTCGCGGGTTCTATTCCTCGCACGGTGCAAACATTTGTATTTATGAGTATGACTGTTTATACTGTTTAAACAAACATATGGCAAGCCGAGACCTGTGTACAACAAAAATCTGGAGATTTTGCCATATTCTTTATTGATCAAAGTAACTTTTACAAAAGACGAGCTTAACGCCATAAGGCATTCTCTTCTAGCTAACATTAGGTAGAAATGGAAAGCGTTGTAGGGCAGTAATACCGTAAAACTGTGACAATAAAAACTACTACAGATATATAAATATATGTAATATATATCTAAAAATACACACAAAAAAATCAGTCCTATATAATTTATTGCTTTGAAAAAACTTCGAGTAGAAACTGTTTATATTCATTTTCGTTCACTGAATAGAGAAGCCTAACATTAGCATCTTCTTTATTGACCAAACTGTTATTATTTAGTCCTCTAGCCTCACCTGCAATCAAATAAAAAAAAGTTTATAATGAAATGAAAACTTCTTATAGTCCTCCTTACAGAAAATAGTTACATAAGCTAATAGCACTAGTACAAATAAAAAAAAACATATTATTACTGTATGCAAGACAGAGGTAACAATGGGCGGCCTTATCGCTAAATTGCCGCTAATAAACCACATATACATACATATTATAAACATACATTAAAATAAATATCCTCACTAATACATATTATAAATGCGAAAGTAACTGTGTCTGTGTGTCTGTCTCGCTTTCAAATAGGAGATGAGAGTTTGTATGAAAATATCGTCAATTTTAAAACTATAAACTTATTCTGTAGGCTGTTCATTAAATAGAAATAAATATGACATTATTATAAAAATGTTACCCTTAAGGGAGTAAAATAAAATACGGGATGAAAGTTTATATAGTAATTTTTTATTTTTTTCTTTGTCTTTTTTGGGTTTTGTTATTATTAAATATTTTTTCGTCACTATCAGACGCGGTGGAAGTCTAAGGCACATCTTGTACATACAATAATATAATATAAAATTACAGTAATTATGTAATATGCATTTATCATGGTGGTGTCTAGGGGGCACTGTATGTAGGTCTATCTAAGACCTGGAACATTGCTAGCAATAGGATTATTAGTCTACGTTACTAGTAATCCTCTCGCCCTACATATTTTGATTCGATTTCAGTAATTTCAAAGTATGTCTTACCACACAAGCATATATCGTTCTTCGAATATTTATACTCTTTCACAAGATCAGGTCTAACGGCTATAGCTACGGAGGCTGGGTCCAGCGCCTGCCATCTCACATTTCTTTTCATTGATACTTGTTCAAATCTGTTTTGTTCTTTAATTATATTTGTATCGATAGCACCCAATACATTTTGTCTCCATTCCTTAAAAACATAAAAATAAACTTTATGAACAAAGCAATTAGAAAAACTGCGTTGGTTATTGACTGCGTACATACTATTACATACCACGTAAATTCTCAAGCTATATGCTTGAGAGTTTCGATACTATATTGCGATTTGGTATAATTTAGTTTTTTTTTTGTTTTGCGCACCCAATATCTTTGGGAATTGCAGATTCTCATCTGCAATTCCTTTTGACCTGGCTGAGCTGGCCTTTAAGAAGGAGTAAGTAAGGGAAAACAATTAGAAGAGGAATATATGGGAGTAGGATGAGCGTGAGATCCAGAACCTCGACTTGCTATGGGAAACCAGATATAATAAAAACGGTGAACAACTCATATGTGTACAGCCAAATAGTCCCAATGCAACTTTGATTTTATGACCAAAGTATTTTTTAGTATTTTTCTTTCAGTATCGGAATACGGCTATTTGAAAAAAGAACAGTTTTATTTTCAAATTGCTGGACACACAACCTTAAAAAACTTTTGTAGCAAACAAAATATAACTAACCTTTGTAAAATTCAAATGTATTCTTATTTGCGAGAATGGTATAATTGTGACTTTATCGGGATTTGCCCGTTGTGTAACTATAAAGTACGCCTCGGCGTCAGATTTTGCGTTGAATTCTGCTTCGGGATGTACATCGCCTATGTCAATGAAATTTATTAATATACAAATACAAACATACAATCACGAATGTTATCCTAAAAAGGGTAGTCAGATTAATTGTTAATTGTCAATGTTTGTAGTGAATGCAACACTTAACATGCCTACATTTCGAAATCCAAAGTGAAAAGGGCTCTACCGCCGCGGCGCCGTCTTTCGGATTCATTATTAAATATAAATTAACATTGCTGTCGGCTGGATTTGAACGGACGATCTCTTGAGCGTGAGCTTGAATGTACTAGTAGTAAATCATTACACTAAACCATTAACTGACTTGTGAATTGGTGAAAAGATAAAGTAACTTCAAACATGACCAAACAGGAATTATTGATATACACTTTATGGCGCTTTTAACACTAAATAAATAAGATTGTTATACAAAAGTGTGAGTAAAGGCAGGTGTATCTCTGAAAGGAACCTCTTCCAGCTAACCTAAAGCTAACTGAGGTGGCAGATAGCGGACATGGTAGTGCAAGAGTATTGTAAAGACATAAATACAATATATAGATATATTAAACTTACTATAAATATGACCAGCTGCGATGTAGATGTGTTTTATTCGCCCTATAAATCCAGGGTCTAAAACGATCGCCAGAGCTATATTTGTAACGGGGCCAATTGTTACAACGATAAGAGTACCTGAAAGAAATCAATATACTAGTAAAATAATTTCTAATAAAGAAATAGTTAGGCTAAACATTAAGTTAGTTAGCCGACCGTGAAAAATTCACTAGGAATTTATCACGATGGTTTCCAATATATCTGTATTATTTTTATATAAAGCTACCTATTCGTCCCGGCTTCGCACGGATGTACATGTATTATATCTAGACACGCGGTAGCGTGTCAAGCCGAGTTTCAAGTAAACTGGCAAGCAGCACCGTGTGTATATTTACACGAACCATTTGGAGTCACTTTTGACCTCCTCATAACTCAAAAACTCTTTCACAAAAACCTGTCAAATTTGGTTCATATATTGAGACTTGCGAGATAAATATGTGTTCCAAATTTCATAAACATATCTCAAACGGTTATTTAGATATTAATGTCCAAAAATCGTCATTTTTATCACTGATCAACTATAGATCAAAATTATAACCCACTTCCAGATGACCTAGATACTAGATTAGATTCCAGACGACCTACATCATTCATTCATTATTCTATTTATTATTTTTTTGAATCAAAGACAATGGAGTCGATTGTCAACCGTCAACTCCTACGATACCTAGAAGTGAACCAGTTGATTTCTGATCGTCAGTATGGCTTTCGCCAGGGTCGCTCAGCTGGTGATCTTCTAGTGTATTTGACACATCGATGGGCAGAGGCTATTGAGAGTAAGGGGGACTATCTGTTATATTGCATCTCTATGCATTTTCTACCGCATATATCACGGGGAGTGTTCTGAGGAATTGTTCGGATTCGCACAACCACATTATGGAATCACCTTATAGCAATGGTATTTCCGAACCGATACGATATTGAAACCTTCAAGAAAAGAGCTTATTCCTTTTTAAAAGGCCGACAACGTACTTGCAATTCCCCTGGTGTTGCGGGTGACATGGGCGGCGGTAATCACTTACCATCAGGTGAGCCGCATGCTCGTTTGTCCCGTGTTATAAAAAAAAAATATAAAAATTCATAAAAATCGGTCAAGCCGCTCCGGAGGAGTATGGTACAATATATAAAATTCAAAAATGGTATAATATAGTATAATATATATAATACATAAAATATTAAAAGAAGAATGAATGATATATGAATGAAAATTAAGAATGAATGATATTTGAATGAGAATGAAGAATGAATGGGAACGAAGAATGAATGATAAATGAACGAAGAATGAATAGCAACATTGAGAATGAGGAATTGAATGATGGTGGAATGATGAATGAATGATGAATGAATGACGAATGAATGAATTATGAATGATGAATGAATGAATTATGAATGATGAATGAATGAATTATGAATGATGAATGATGAATGATGAATGATGAATGATGAATGAATTATGAATGACGAATGATGAATGATGAAAGAATGAATGCTGAATGATGAATGAATGATGAAAGAATGAATAATGAATGAATGATGAAAGAATGAATGATGATTGATGAATGAATGATGAATGAAGAATGAATGATGGATGATGAATGAGAATAAAAATGAAGAATGAATATTGATAATGATGATGATGATGATTAAAGGTTATTATACTGGTTTGCATTACAAATACTTAAAAAATAGATGGTACAATATATAAAATTCAGAAATGGTATAATATAGTATAATATATATATTATATATAATATTAGTTATATTAGTTATAATAATAAGGTTAATGTTTATACGCGGATATGAATGAACGGATATGTATTTTCGTATATTTACGGGGTATAATTGTCTTTTTTTGTGTTATTTTCTATATTTTCTTGTAACTTTTAAATGTTCAAGTGCAATGCCTATTCAGTATCAGGAATTTTTGGGCAAATCGGGGCGGAATAACGTCCACAGATGGTTGTACTCTACAATAGAGCTCTCGTGACTTGGATCTAAATTGTTAAGACGTACCTACTCCATCTAAGGTTTTAACTCTGGAGAGTCCAACGTAAACCTGCCCTTTATTAAATATAGAGGAGCCTATGTTGAAAAGAGGACTGTCAAAACTAGGCCTTGTGATTTGTGGATAGCATATGTTAAGCAAATACGGAATTGTTCTCTGTCAACATATACATTATTTACCCAAAAGCTGGTACGTAGTCTCTTTTCTCCCTTGACATCCACAAGTCGAGTGGGTCTGACGGTATTCCTGCTATTGTGCTCAGGACGTGTGCACCTAGTTGGCTCCGGTACTAACGCCTCTATTCCGGTACTGCTACTCTACAGGTGTAGTCCCGAAACTTTGGAAGACGGCTTTGGTTCATCCGATCCCTAAGATCGCTCAGATCCAGCTAACTATAGGCCCATAGCCATCATTTATTCTTCTTATTCTATTTATTATTCTTTTGAATCAAAGACAATGGTGTCGATTGTCAACCGTCAACTCCTACGATACCTAGAAGTGAACCAGTTGATTCTGATCGTCAGTATGGCTTTCGCCAGGGTCGCTCAGCTGGTGATCTTCTAGTGTATTTGACACATCGATGGGCAGAGGCTATTGAGAGTAAGGGGAAGGCCCTATCTGTTATATTGCATCTCTATGCATTTTCTACCGCATATATCACGGGGAGTGTTCTGAGGAATTGTTCGGATTCGCACAACCACATTATGGAATCACTTTATAGCAATGATATTTCCGAACCGATACGATATTGAAACCTTCAAGAAAAGAGCTTATTCCTTTTTAAAAGGCCGACAACGTACTTGCAATTCCCCTGGTGTTGCGGGTGACATGGGCGGCGGTAATCACTTACCATCAGGTGAGCCGCATGCTCGTTTGTCCCGTGTTATAAAAAAAAAATATAAAAATTCATAAAAATCGGTCAAGCCGCTCCGGAGGAGTATGGTACAATATATAAAATTCAAAAATGGTATAATATAGTATAATATATATAATATATAAAATATTAAAATAAGAATGAATGATATATGAATGAAAATTAAGAATGAATGATATTTGAATGAGAATGAAGAATGAATGGGAACGAAGAATGAATAGCAACATTGAGAATGAGGAATTATAATGATAATGAAGACTAAAGAATGAAGAATGAAGAATGAATATTCATCAATGAATATTCATTATTCAATATCAATATTCATTCTTCATTTTCTGTCATTTTTGATTCTCAATCATTCTTTTATTCATTAATCATTCATTCTTCATTCACCATTCATCATTCATTCATCATTAATTCATCAGTCACTCATCATTTATTCATCATTCATTCATCATTCATTCAACATGCATTCATCTTTCATTCAACATGCATTCATCTTTCATTCATCATTCATTCATCATTCATTTTCAGAATTTTATATATTGTACCATCTATTTTTTAAGTATTTGTAATGCAAACCAGTATAATAACCTTTAATCATCATCATCATCATTATTAATATTCATTCTTCATTTTTATTCTCATTCATCATTCTACCTTCCTTCATCATTCATTCTTCAGTCATCATTCATTATTCATTCTTCATTTTTATTCTCATTCATCATCCATCATTCATTCTTCATTCATCATTCATTCATCAATCATCATTCATTCTTTCATCATTCATTCATTATTCATTCTTTCATCATTCATTCATCATTCATCATATATATATATTATCATTCGTCATTCATAATTCATAATTCATTCATCATAATTCATCATTCATCATTCATCATTCAATATTCATTCATCATTCATCATTCATCATTAATTCATCATTAATTCATCATTCATTCATCAGTCATTCATCATTCATTCATCATTCATTCATCATTCATTCATCATTCATTCATCATTCATCATTCATCATTCATTCATCATTCATTCATCATTCATCATTCATTCATCATACATCATTCATTCATCATGTATTCATCATTCATTCATCATTCATTCATCATTCATTCATCAGTCATTCATCATTCATTCATCATTCATTCATCATTCATTCATCATTCATTCATCATTCATTCATCATTATAATCATTATATATTCATTCACAATATATAAAATTCATTCAATATTCATTCAATATTCATTTATCATTCATCATTAGGTATATATTTAGAATCATTCATTCATCATTCATTCATCATTCATTCATCATTCATTCATCATTCATTCATCATTCATTCATCATTATTATCATTATTCAATTCATTATCATATTCATCATTCATTCATATTCATCATCATTCATTCATCATTCATTCATCATTCATTCATCATTCATTCATCATTCATTCATCATTCATTCATCATCATCATTCATCACTCATCATCATCATTCATCATTCATTCATCATTCATTCATCATTCATTCATCATTCATTCATCATTCATTCATAATTAATTCATCATTCATTCATCATTCATTCATCATTCATTCATCATTCATTCATCATTCATTCATCATTCATTCATCATTCATTCATCATTCATTCATCATTCATCATTCATTCATCATTCATTCATCATTCATTCATCATTCATCATTCATTCATCATTCATTCATCATTCATTCATCATTCATTCATCATTCATTCATCATTCATTCATCATTCATTCATCATTCATTCATCATTCATTCATCATTCATTCATCATTCATTCATCATTCATTCATCATTCATTCATCATTCATTCATCATTCATTCATCATTCATTCATCATTCATTCATCATTCATTCATCATTCATTCGGTTGGTATTTATGCTACGAAATTCATAGTTTTCTTAAATTATACTTATATATTTGTGGTTATATTATTATTACAATAGTTTAAACCAAAAATTAATAATAATTTTAGTATAGTTATAAGTAGGAATGTATAGTTAACTCGAGAATGAGAACTCATTGGTAACATATTGTTTTCTTGAGAATTCAGTAGATAACATTCAATTTGTTACATAATCGTCTTTACGAACTATAACGTGTCAATACCAAGTTTCAGATATTAAATAATGTATATGT